AGCTACCTAAACTCACATCCAGCTCCCTCCTCATCATTCCCACTTGGGTGTCCAGGCCAGAATCAGACCAGGAGGCCAGGCCAATGGGAGTTCTGCTGGGCTTTGAGGACCAACAAGAATAGGTGCTTGGTTTGGCTTAAGTGGCCTCACCTTGGGCTCCACCAATGACACAGAAACTAAAGAGAATGATGGAGCAGTGGGCAGGGTCAGTCCCTTCAGAGTGGGCTGCTGTGTGTGCAGAGCTGGAGCCATGGTTAGAGAAGTCACTGTCTGGCTGCCTAGGAGATGGTAAAGCCCAAGAGCATCCATTCCGTGAGTGACACAGGGGAGGTTAAGGGTTCATGGAACATGGCAGAGAGAATTTCATGGGCAACCGCAGGAAAATAGTTTCAGTCCCAAGATAGTGGTGATGTCATAGCAACCACAACCTGAAGAGGAGGATAAACTGCTGCCCCAAGAAGCCCCATTGCAATGGAGTGGGGCCTAGGAGCAGAGGCCCTGAAAGCAGGTGGCCTACGAAGGTGGATAGCCAAGCAAGAGTAGGGTTTGGAAGAGCTGAAAGGAAATGAAAATGAAAAGAGGAGAAAGGAACGTCAGTCAGAAAGAAGGGAGGGGGGCAACTGAGATCGCTGTCAGTCCTGACCAACACCAAATACAAGGCAGGCCAGAGAGGCCAGAGCTGAGCCTGGAAGGAAAGTGGCAAGGATCAGGCGGCAGCAGCATCTCTAGACAGGGAAGGAAGTGACTGCAGCCATAGGGAAGTGAGAGAGGGTACCCTTAGGGCCCCTTCAGGATAATAGAAAGTGAGAGAGAAGAGGAATAGAAGAATCTAGACCTCAGTTCAAATGCTGGGATTGAAAGTCACAGAAAGGCAACCTGGACTGGCTGGAATGACTGGAATTTTACAACACCCTCAAGGGCTAGAGAAACAGGCTTAGAGATAGGAATGACAGTGACCGCGGAGGCCCTAATAGTTACCAGTTGTCTTCCAGCAGGCAGCATGTGACCAGGATACCTCTTATGCCAGAGGGCACTGGGTCTCGGCAGAACAGCATCCCTGTCCCAGCTGTGAAATCCACTCTATCCCGGAGATTCAAAACCCAGGCAGGGACATTCAGTCGGCCAAGGCTTGGTCACATGGCTACATCTGCCTGGCTGCCAGGGACTGAGCAGATCAGTTCCTTATGGCCTGATGGAGGGAGATGGGGCATTGCTCCAAATCAGGGAAGGAATGGGTATCGTACAGCCAAAACCAAATTCCACTCCTCTGTGACAAGGAGTCCCGAGAGTGGGAGACCGAGTCCACGGCTTTGGGGAAAGGAAGCAGAGAATGTTCCAGATGCAAAAGGAGGAAAAGGGAGGGGCAGAGTGCCCAAGGTGGATGGCTCACCTGAGGGAGGTGACCAGGAAGGTGACCACCACCAGAGAGATGTGAAGGACCATAAAGGTGCCTGGGAAATTCCCATTCTTTCCATCTGTTCCATCCTAGCCTTTCCACAGCAGCAGCTGTTTTCACCAGGGAGAAGGTTTGGTTTTCAGCAATGGAAAACTGACCAGATTGGTGATTCATCAGCTCCTAAGATGACTCCTTCCCTGCATTTCAGGGAAGGGAAGTCATTGCAGACTCACTTCCTTGTTGGAGCCAAGTAAGGACGGGGTGGAGAGAGGGGAGTGGGCAGCGGCACTGGCAGCACCCATCCCCTCTACTGCCCACGATGCTTAAGGGATGGATGGCAGCTCTCTGATATCCCATTGCATGTAGCAGATCCCTGTGGCTTTGGGCATGGTGACAAGGGAGATGGAAAGGTGACAGCTGAGCCATGCTTTGGTCCTTCAGGGACCCACACTGTGTGAGTACGACCTCTCTCAGTATATAGAACTTCCAAGATGGCCTTTGAGAAGAAAACCCATACCCTCAGCCTGGCTTGTAGCACTGGCTGATTTTCTTAGTGTACATACTCCCAGTGTAGCAAATTACAAACTTCATGAATGATGTCACTGAATGTAGAACTGGGAAGAGATATAGATCTGCCCAGCACACAGCGCTCTCCAGGTGGAGCTGAATGAATAGGCAGAGATAACTTAGAATGGGCTGGCTGTGGGGCCAGCGAGACAGCTCAGCCATCTTGGCAGTTTCTTATATGGAAAGTGCCTGCTTAGGGAAAGCTTAGGCAAGTGCACAGAGCCCATGGTGCCATCCCCACCACCACACTCTGCGCCAGCCCCACCCCCAAGGTGGGCGGAGCCGGCCACAAAAAAAACAGAAGAATTTTTTAGATTGTTTGAAGTAAAATTTAGTTAACTAAGTTGACATAATTTATTTTCTAGTGATGTCTTCCTTAAACCTCCAGCTTGCAAAATTCCTGCAATCAAACATCAGGCCTCTTGCTCATGTGTACCAGCTGGCTGGTCCAGCCCATCCCCAGGATGGACAGGAAGAACTGGAAAGAGGCTGGTAGCTGCCAGAACATCTTAATGACATGTTAAGGAGTAGAGACAGGCCGGACACGCCGGTGTTGGACAGGCACTGCAGAGTCAGGGGAGCACTGTTCCCAGCTCTGCAGCAGAAAGCCTTGCTCTGGTCCTCCGGCAGCTTCTAGAACAGCGAAGCTGAGCTCTGCTTCCTACATGGCTGCACCCTGCCTCCAACCCAAGGCTAGAACCCCTGGCTTTGCCTGTAGAGGCCACACTAGCTCCCTCACCCCCTCTACTGGACACTTGGGAGCAGTGCATGGTCTAAGTACTGCAGCTCTGCGGGGAGTGAAGTTGCCCACCTTTGGGCTTTGGGGGCCACGCCCCTCTGCTTTTTCTGACTTAAGGACTAATTGGAAGATATCTTCTTTATAAGAAACTTCCCTTGGGGGACAGCAGGCAAAGGCTCCCTGCCATCGCCCTCGGCCTAGGGACATGCAGCTGTCTTCAGAAGCAGTGCTCTCACCCCTGGCTGCCTGAAGGGCTTCCAGAGATTTTCAGACTCCCAGGACAACCACACCCACCAGACTGGTCCATCAGTGCTGCAGAGGGAAATCCAGGAACTGCTTATCAGACCTCCCCAGGCTGCAGCCAGGAGTACAGCTTCTTGTTATTTTGTTTTGATTTGTTATGTTTTGTTTTGTGATTCTCTTGCCTCAGCCTCCCAGAGAACTGGGGTAACAAGTGTGCAGCATCATTTCTGGAGAGAGCCAATGTTGTAAGAGTTGTGGGCTAGCCACACTGGATGGGTGGCAGTCCTGCCACAGGTGTGCCACCGAACAGACACCTTTTGGAGAGTGCCTACCACACTTCCTCAGTGTCTGTCCCAGAGCAGCCCCTGGAAAATGTCCAGGGATTCTGGGCAGGAGACCAGGAAGGTTGGATCCAGAGCCATAACTTGCATAAGTAGGGCAAGCTCTGCCCCCACTCCTAAAGAGATCCCTGACTCCCTCCTTCCTCTTCCCAAACCATTTGTACACTCAGGGGAAAGAGCTCTTCTAGGAAAATTTTTTTTCAGAAAGTCAACCATATCCAATAGATCCCTCACTCAGCCCTGCTCCTGTCCTTCCTTCTGAAGCTCTCTTGTCCCTTCCAGATGGACCCTCAGGTCCTTCAGGGAAAGGAACAGGTTTGGGCCTGAGAGCAATGAGGAAGAAAGAGCCACTGTGGCCCCCCTCCCTGAGGTCCCCTCTCCCTGGGCTCCAGCCCTTTCTCAGCTTGACTGCTGGGTGTGAGCCCAGAGCCTGTGGTTTGGTCAATTCCAAATTCTAGACCCTAGAGGAGCAGGTGGTGAGCTTGGTGACTTAATGTCACCAGGGGAAACAGCTGCACAGGAAAAGGGCCGGGAGATGGTTTCTCAACCAAAACGAGGTGAGGAGCCACACACTAGGCCTGAGGTATTTTCTTGCCTTGGACTTGGAGCAGGAGGCAGGCTGCATTACTCACACATGCTTCCTGATTGCTCAAGACACTGTCACAGGCCACAGAGCACACCCTGTGACCTGGTGTCAATGTGAGGTGTTCCAGTTCTGTGGCTCTCCCCTGCTCCTGGTAGCCTCTGTCCTAGCTTGACCCCACTAGGATCTGGCCCTCAGGAAAGGGATCACATGTATGCATGCTTCTTGGTCTTCTCACCCAGCCAATGCTTCTTACAGGGCTCAGGGCTGGGAGGGGAAGACGCAGGGCAAGGGGACACAGAGCCAGGGGAAGCCCTCATGGATCCATCTGCCTCTGGAATCAGGGGTGTTTCACAGGGCAAGTGTCCAAAGCTGAACAGGCTGGCATAACTGGATGAATGTGGGCCAGGGCACTCCAGAGACAGGGGCTGCTGTTATTAGGATTGCACTTGTGGGGCAAGTTTTAGGGTGTTGAAGCCAGACGCCCTCACGAAGACTCCAGTACACGCCATTCAGGGTTATGATAGTACTCTTCAGAAAAACAGATTAGCAGATTTGCCCTACAGCCCGGTGAACGCTCAGAGATGCCACTGTTTGGATCCTGGCCCAAGCTGTTCCCTACCTAGGAGGCACACACGGCCAGCGTTCCCAACAGGCCTTTTCCTCAGCCTCCCGTACCTGGACCTCTGGAGATCACTAGCTCCTTTTGAGAAGCATCTGTCTTTCAACACCGCTGGCCCCACAGGACTAGGTCTCCAGGGGTCTCGGCTTTTCACACGGAAAATGCGCCCTAACCAGGTTGGACAGCCAGTCCCGCGCACTTCCAACCCACAGGCTGGTGCGCAACGCAGTGGGGCTCCTCGCTTGGACCAGCGCGAACCTAAGAACCTGCGCACTAGAAGGGAGGATCCCGTGCGCCAGATGGCCCCGCCCACGGCCCCGCCCCGCGCTTTCCCAGTTTAGCCACGCCCCCGTCGCCACGCCCAAACCCCCGGTGGATCCCCTCCGGGCTATCCCTGTTTCTCGGCGCCCCACCCTCCATGCCCCGCCCATGACCTCCACGCCCTGCCCCTCACCACCCCGTGCCGGGTGGACAGCTCGGCACACCCAGGCGGAGTTCAGGGACCGCCAGGCCCGCCCCGCCCTGGCCGGGTGATTGATCACGGAAGATCCCCGTGGCTTTAATGGTCTGCTTGGATGGGAATTAATTCTGGGATGGATAAATAATGCATTGAGGTTTACGTAGTCCAAGGCGAGCCGTCTGTCCGGAGCCAGGAGAGGGAGCCAAGGGGCCGCGAGGGCGACGCCAGCTGCCGGCCTGGGGGACAAGCGGGGCGTGAAGGGCGACCTGGCGAGAGCGCGAGAAGAGGGCCGTGGATGACTGGCTCGGGCCCTCGCGCCCGGCCCCGCGGCTGCAGAACCATGCTAAGCCCGAAGATCAGGCAGGCCCGCAGGGGTGAGTCTAACTTTCCGTTCTGCTGGGCGTCCCGGGGCCACTGCCGCTGCCGGCAAGGACGCTGGTGCCTAGTGGGACGCCTGGGCTGCGTGGAGCCCAGACTGCCGGGACCAGCGCGTGGCTGGTGATGTCCGCGACATTCCACGTTGTCCAGCATCGCACTGTTGCTGTGGGTGACCAGGGGAAGACTCTGGGGAAACTTTGCTTCTTTACTGAAGGAGAAATGTCCAGGATTCTCCTACAGCAGCTAGAGAAATGGCACTTAACCTGGCTCATCCAGACAGTGGCCTCAATGTGGAGCTCCCATAACCGCCTAGGGGTTGGCTTAGCTAAGAGCCTGGGGAAGCACCGGCTGGCCAGCTTATCTGCCAGGATAAGGCCCCTGGAAACTGCTGCTGAGCCAGGTTAGGGATGGGTGGAGTCCAGATTTGAGGACAGATTTGAGAGATGGGATCTGGAGAGTCCAGGACTGGGTGAGCAGATCAGGGGTGGGTAGGCAGGACACCACATCTCCCTGGACAGCAACTTACTGGGTAGGGCAAGTTCAGATGAGAACGTGTCTTTCTAAGAAAATAGAATGTGGCCAGTGTTTTAGAAGACCTCCTGTAAGCAGTGTGCACTGAGATGGGCCTTTGGATACGTGTGGGGCATGGGGGGTGGGTGTTTAGAAACAGACTCACCCTGTGTGTGTGTGGCTGGGACCTTCTGCCTCCTGTGGATGCACAGGACCACCCATCTGCTGAGCACGCCACAGCCAGCATTTGTATGACTTTCCTAAGTCAAGCCTTCCTGCCTGCTAGCTGGCCCTCACACCCCTGTGGACTGTACTGGGACAATGCTGTCACCTGCCAGCCAGCAGGCTGAGGAGAACTTTACTTGGGCTATGTCTGGTGACAACCACTGGCCACATGGGACGATTGTCATGTGACTAGTCCAAACTGATAAAAAATCACATCAGATTTGATGGTGGAGTGCAAAAAATGTAGAGGATAAAAGATCTCCTTAGTACTGTTTTGTATTGATTGCATGCTGAAACGACAGATTTTAAATCTATTGGGCCAAATAAAATACATTATTAAATTTAATTTCACCCTTTTTTCCTTTTACTAGCTTTTAATGTAGCTACTAAGAACATTTACAAGTATCATGAGGCTCATATTATACCTTGTATCTTTTTATTAGATGATGCTGGCCCAGAAAGAAATCAGTGCTTCAGAAAAGGGAACTGCCTGTGACATAGTAAATATTTCATAAAGAGTGATTTCAAGCCCATGGCTCAAAACCAGGAGCGAGTGCCCCTGTGTCCAATCTGAAGAATATTTGACAATGTGTGGAGACACTGTTGGCTTTTCCCTTGAGGGTACTACTGGCACTCGGCCTGTAGGAACTAGGGTCACTGCTGACCTTACCACAATGTACAGGACACCACAGGGTCACCTCGTCCTGACATCCATAACACCTCGTGCCAAAGTGAAGAAAACCTTCACCAGATAACGTTATCTGGTTGGACATGTAACAAGATGAATTTCAGACATTAATGAAATAATTTCTTGCCCACATATATGTATGATGCTAAGCCACAGCAGAGGCATCTTAAGAGCGCACATTACAAATGCACCACAGAGCTTCGGGAGGCATCCAGGGAAACAGTGGCTCCTCAGCTTCAGTGGCTGAGGAGTGACGGGATGGCTGCAGGAGGGGGAGCAGCATGGGCAGGTACAGGGGGACGAGAACCTCATAGGATCCAGGAGAACTGGAGGCAGGATGTGGCAATGTGCAGAGCAAGAGGCTAGAACCAAGCCAAGAACCAGCCTAGGAGCGTGGCCTTCTAGGGAAGGACTGTCTTTCTAGGACATTTCTGGAGAAATGGGGACCAAGAGACATTGACTGTACTAGAAGAAGGTGTGTCATCAGAATCTATCCCCATCCAAACCTTCCAAGAATCAGGCAGGGTGCATGTTAGCAACATGACAAGCAAGTGACAGCTATGCAAATCCAGCCCCAGTATGGAGCCACTGTCTGGCCTAGACTGTTGCATACCACATCTGGTAAAGACTCAGCTTCGTGCAACTGTGTGGGCTGCATGGGAAAGACAGGGTGCATTCAAGGACAGGCAACCACAGCAGGCCTGGCCCATGCGCTCTGCAGCCTCCAGGGTCCGGCTCTAAAATTGTTTTCCCAAGGCTTCTCAAGGACCTCTCTCCAGACATATCAGCGACACCTTTCTACTCGGTCCCCGTCCAGGTGAGCCCTAAGTGAATGAGCAGAGACCACCATCTCCCTGAGAGACATCCTTGTCCCTTCCAGGAGTGGGGAGATGTCAGGATTCAGAAAATCTCCCTGGGAAAACCTTTAGCGCCAGTGACTGCCTATGGCACTCTGGCTCTGCCTTCTCTTGTGACAAGAGAACACCTGACTGTGTGGTTCATAAAGCAAACAGGTTTATTTGGCTCCCAGTTCTGGGACCCCTAGAGGATGGTGCTGATGTCTTCAGATGCTGGTTAAAGTGGAGGAGAGATGAGTCATGAGTCACATGTGGAAGGAGTGTGTGTGAAAGGGGCTGAGCAGTGGGGGGGGGGGCTCGCTTCCTGACCCACTCTTGCCATAGCCAAGCCGCTCTCTATCAAGGAACTATGTCTAACCCTGCATGAAGGAGGAGCCAGAGACCTTATGGCCTCTTAGAGGCCCCACCACCCCTCAGCACAGATGCATTGAGATTCACCCTGAGCTTTGCTGGGGACAAACCCTGTCCAGACCACAGCTGAGTCAGCTGTCCTGCTCAGGCTGCAGTCAGAGGGGGCCAGAGGAGGCAGATGTCAACACTCCTACACACACATACATACATGTATGCACATGCACATATGTACACAGATGCACACATAGCACAGGGCACAGTGACTCAGAGGACCAGGAAAGTGCCCTACCAGGCTTGAAGTGACTCTGCACAAGCCAGCAACCACAGCCATGTGGTTCCTTAGTTTTGGAAGCACAGTGCAATTCCACCTGCATTCAGGAAATCGCTTCACAACAGCACATGTGAGTTCAGAGTTCACACCAGCTCAGGCCATAGTGCCCAAGAGCCAGCTAGGCATGGCTTGATGACCCTGCCCCACTCAGCACCCACAAGGCTCCTGGGGAGCTTCTCCCTCTCATGTTCCCCAGGCTCATCCTCAGCTCACCCATATCCCCACCACAGCCATAGTCCTAGAGTGAGAACAGAAGAGGCAGCTCACTCTATTCCTGCCAGTACTCCCAGAGACAAATAGGATGCATTGATTAAACCTCCACCAAATAATTGTGTATACAGTAGAGCAAGCCTATGGACTCCACCACACCATGAGAAGAGCTATTGCTTTTCCAAGACAGAAATACCAACTAATCCTGGGAGTGACTGGTGGGTTGACAGCGTAGGCTTGGCCCCGACCCTGAGCTCCTCCCTCCCACCTCGACCCCCACCTGCCATCATCACCTGGCCTGCACTGTTAGTCCTTGAGCTTCCTGATTCCTCATGGTACTGGGACCAGGCACTGCTAAGGGGCAGAACGCGGTGTGGGTTATTCCTAAGTTCCCAGGCCACAAACACACCATCCATGTGGGCTGGCGGATGTTCTTTTTCAAGGTTGCTGTCCTTCTCTCTTGTGTCCCCAGTCACAGGGCTTGCTTCTTGCGGATCTGAGTACTTCCTCAGTCCTGTTGCAGGCTTGCTCAGGGCCAGCACCCAGGTGTGCAGCTGTGGTCTTGCCCCATGCCACAGATGTGGGAGGTGTCAGCCAAAGGGTTTGCCCAACCCTCCACCTGCACATGTCATGTCCTGCCTGGCCCTCATCAGCTGCAACCTGGACTACGGTACCACCTTGCCCCATACCCATTCTCCACTTGTAAGCCACAGCTATCCTTTCCCAAGTAGACCCAGTCGCAGACCCATCTCCAGCACAGGTAGGGCCCTTCCATGGCTTCCTCACTGCTCTTTGGGTTAAAATGTAAGACTTAGGCCCATAGGCCTCACTGTTGGTGCAGCTTCTCTAGAATCTCCCTGTCCTACCTCTCTTCAAGCCCTGCTGCACTGGTCTTCTCCATATTTCTTGGCATTTCATAAGCCTCCTCCCACAGGGCTTTTGCACACCTTGTTTCCCTCTGAGATTCTTCTTGGGCTCACACATATGCACTCCATAACCCCTACCCCTCTAACATCCCCCAGGTCAAGGGTCGCAGCCAGGCCAATCTTCCCATGCACTCTACTCCAAGCCGGGTTCCCAGCCCCACGCTGACCTTCCCTCTGTACTGCTTTTCTCAGATTGTAGCTGTAAACTTCTGAGGCTGATTTCTAAAATATCTATCACCTGCACTGATGTAATAGTTTAAATATTAAGTGGTCCCCAAAGACTCCAGTATTGAGGGCACTAAATGTTACGAGGACTGTTAGGAGGTAGAAGGTGGGGCTGAGTTCAAGGAAGTGAGCCACTGGGAGCTGCTTCTGGAGGATTTATCTCCTCTGTAGCTTCACACACACACACACACACACACACACACACACACACACACACACCCTGTTTCCTAGCTGTCACAAGGTGAGCAACTTTTCTCTGCCATGTTCTTTCTGCCTTAGAGCCAGTCAGCCACTGCCTGAGCCTCTGCAGCTATGAGCCAAAATAAGCCTTTTACCTTTAACTTGTATACTTCAGATGTTCTGTCCCACCAAAGGAAAAGTGACTAATACAAGTGATTGTGAAATCTGTGAGAGCTGGGGTAATTTCTGATTTTAAGCATCATTATATTCCCAATGTCAGGCACCTAGCAGACATGTGACATGTTTTTTTAAATGGAAAAATGGATGGATGATTATGGATGGATTTATGCATGGATGGAAGTTGGATGGATGGAAGGGTGGATGGATAGATGGAAGTTGGATGGATGGAAGTTGTGTAGATGGATTAATAGATGGTGAATGGTGAATAAATGGTGGATGGATAAGTAGATGGTTGAAAATTGGAGAAAGCATT